ACCGGTTATAGAACCTACATTCCAACTACCTAAACGAATTTTCCTATCATGGGCTAGCTCTGCCCCTTGCACACGTCCATGAATGTGCAAGGACCACCCTTGCATATTTTTCACCATATCTGGGGCCCGACATGGCGCATGGGCTCGCTTTTCCCCCCGCACACGTCCATGAATGTGCGAAGACCCCCCTTGCCTATTTAATACTATACCCGTGGCCCGGCATAGCGCGTCGCACGTAGGGAACGCCCCAACAAATTTGATGTAAGTGAAATCCATGAGAGTGACTTATTTTTACGCTGGCCGTCAACCTACCGCAACACTCCTCCTTTACCCGGGCTTGGGACCGGCTATACAAACGCATAGGCGGAGTTGGACTGACGACTGGTACTAACTCAACAAAACTAGCTGACTAGGAATTGACTCAGTGGACGACTGAATAGACTCGGTAGACTCAGTAGACTCAGTTGACTCGGTGGACTCGGACTGATTAGGAATATCAAGAAGGAACAAGTCTCTTTCCACCCTAAAGATAGGAATGGAAAAAATATGACTCAGTTTCGACAAAGGTGATATCAGCGGAAACAAAGAATTTTCTTATTGGTGGATGGAAACATTTGTACCCTTTTTGAGTGGATGACTAACCAACGAAAACACACTTGAGAGCACGTGGATCGAGTTTTCCCCTGTTTTGAGAGTGAATATGTACAAAGGCAACACTTCCAAAAATTCTTGGAATAAGGTTGTTTGAGGCACCGAAATTTGGAAAGAATTTTGTGTGAGCTTCCATGGGGCTTTTGAAGTCAAGATCTCATGTTGGCAGTGTATTTATGAGATGGGCAGCGGTTAAAGACGACTTCACCTCATGTCTCCTTTGCCGTGCCAAGACACATACATGTGTCACTGATTTCTGGCTGCATAGAATTCCACAACCAGGACATCACAAGAGAATCTTGTTCATCCCAAGCATCAAACTTGGGATCCCCCGGTTTAGGACCAGTTCCAAGTAGATGACTCAATTTGCCTCTTCCCTTCAAAAACGCGCAAACCAATTGGGACCACTTCAAATAAGTTTTTTCATTCAATCTGTACGCTGTCTGAATGTTTTGCAAATCCCCTGTTGAAGAGTTGTTGTTGCTCTCAGTCGGAGAAGTTGCAGGAACCCCTGTTGCGTTGCTGGCTGCAGATGATTCGGACATGATTCTTGGGTATACAAATCACGAACTTGAGGGTGATTATGAAGGGAAACAACGGACAGGTCTCACAAAACTAGGTTTAGCGAGAATAGATTGAAAAACCAAGGACATAAGTGAGTAGCAATAAGGGTGAAAAGAACGAATTACCAAAAAAGAGCCTAGTGCTCTGACACCATGTCGTGAATGGTAAATGGGAATATTTTTCATTAATTCAAAATAATCTCGTATACACATTTATAATATACGGCTAAGAGCCAAATTAGGAACCTAGCTACAAATCAGGAAAATATCCTAACCAGAATATACAACTCACCAAATAATATGCAGTTCACCGAATCCCTAAAAATAAGGGATCACACAAAATCACCTACACTACACCCGGATTCTTATTATAACTGTATCTGACAACATAATGTAATCTTGTATTTTAATTTTTTCTTCTAGTTTTCTTTTGCCTTTTGGATGGATCTCTCATCCATTTTTAATCTTTTCTATACTCTTTGTTCTGCATTTGTTGTTTAATAAAATTTTTGTTGTTTCTTATGAAAAAATGGAAGACTTTGATTATGAATTGTACAGTTCGCCTCCTAGCATTCTTTGTTCAGATAATTGTTTTTCCCTAGGTTTATTTTTCTTTCTTGTTTTCTTCAAGGAGATCTCATCCTTTTCCTTTTAATTGATTTTCTATCAATGAAAAGGGTTTTTTTTTATAAAATGAAGGTATTATTGCTCTCTTTCTAAAACTCTTTCATACTCTCTTCTCTTCATCAAATTCTTAATCTTTCTCTAGTTCCTTTCTTCTCTTATCCCCTCTAAATCTTATCTTGTTCTACACCAAGTTTGGTATCAGAGCCTCGTCAAAATCTTGGCTGAAATTCTCAATTCCCATATTCAACAAATTTCAATTCCCCAAGACCCGTTATCACAGAAGAACTAAGTTTTTAGTTTCAAATTCTTCACAATCTCTTCTTAGGACCAAAACCAAATAAATAAATAAACTGCTACCACCACCAGAAGTCTAGCGCTACCATCTGTCTTTGCAAGTCGCCGCTCGCCAGTGGTGTCTTTCATTTTGGATGGTCAACATTTACAAAACCACTCTTCAATCATGGCCAAAGGATGCCATGATTATTGTTGCTGAGTTCTAACGCCATGCATCCGCTTCTCAACCTCCTCTCAAGTTGCACAAAATGAAAAAATAACAAAATACTAGATTCTAATTCTTCTCAGTTCTTCTTGCAACAACACCTAGTGTATGTGTGTAATTTAGCATCTCGTTGCTCGTTAGAAAGGGAAGGTTAAACGCCAATGTACTTCCTAAATTTTTGGTGTATATATGTGGTTGTTTACAGATTTATAAACAGAAGCATTTTTGCATGTGCTGTGAAAGGTTAAGTATTTTTTTTTTTTTTTTTTTATAAGAAACGAGAAGAATATTATTAATAACGATAAAAAAGAAAAGGCACAACAGGGGACAAGGAGTCCACCAAAGCGAAACAAACAAAAGAGAACTAGAAGCACAAAACTAATGTAGGACTAACTCCCATCCTCTAAGTAAATCTGAAAAGGAAAAGGCGTTGAAGCCTTTACTTGAGATAACCACAATGCCACAGTAAATTTAATTCTGTCCCACACTACATTAACATCCCCTTCTAAGTCCTCAAAAATACAGATATTCCTCTCTAGCCAAACAGCCCAAGTGACGGAGAGTATTGCTACATTCCAAAGCTTCATCAGCCTACTGTTGAAGGAGTCACCAATGAAGAGCTCCGCAATCTTTCTAGCAATCGTTCTAGGAATCACTGTGAAAGGTTAAGTATGAGTGTCAATATTTAACATCAAGGGAATAGAATCTTGACCACACCTAAACAAAGGTGACAAATCGTATGTAATTTCTAGTGTTTTACCTTCAAATGGAATCGACATAATGTTGCCTTTAATAATCAATGGAATGAAACTCCCCCAAGTATAGCGTTCAAATATGAAAAAAAGAAAAAATTTAGTCATTTCATGTGTACATGTTTAATAGCGCATGACCATTAACGAAGCCAATGAACGGCCGGGGGGGGGGGCTAACCTCCCCTCAAGTATCTATATATATGTTTTTGCACTAAATTTATATATAGCCCCCACAAAAAATAAAAAAAACTTGATTTTTATTCACCAGAAAATGAAAATCCAACTAGTACTGCTAACTTAGCAAGATCTTATCCCCCTAGTAATACTTCGATTGTCCTTCAAATAGCGCTATTTATTTTTTTCCTCGTCTTTCTTACTTGAATTTTTTTTCCCCTTAGTTTACATATCCCCTTTTAAAGAGGAAAGTGTACGCAATAATTACTTGGAAAGAATGCCATAATTATGTCCCATAATACTTTTAGATAAGAAAAATATAGCATGCTAGTACAATAATCAATTAGACGTGACTGCTATATGTTTATAACATTTATTCCTTTTGCTTCTGTGAATATTTTTGTTTGCGTTAATTTTTTTTTTTTTTTTTTAAATTTATGTTCTCTAACATATAGATAGAAAATTTATGGAATGCATGTCAGATTCGGAAGAAAAGAAACTAATATTTTGTAAAATGGTAAGGATTGGACAAGAGAAGAGTTGATCCTCACCAAGGTTTAAAATTGCGTGAAGTGGTACTGAGGCATTTTCTTTTTGTGAGCGAAGCATAAGCCTCGAGGCATTTCAAGGAGTAAGCCTCAATTTTTTTTAAAAAAAATATATGTAAATTATGAAATTCATATGTTTTCACTTTCACAAACCATATATCCTGTAATTAAGAAGTAATAGTTTTTATTTTTTAACTGAGAACATTAGTTTAAGAAGAAAAAAGACTTACCAGGCTGTGGAAATAGAGGTCATTTCAGCAGGTAGTAGCAGCACTCCTTTTCTGTGGGGTTTCATTTGGATTTAGTAGTTTTGTCTAAGAAAAACCAGTTTTTAGGCTCATTTTTTGCTGATTTCACTTATTTGGGCTTTGTGCCTTTTAATCTATTTCAGCCCAATATAGTATATAAACAAAAAAGAAAAATTTCATTTTGGTACTCTGTGTTATATCAAAATATGAGTTTGGTACCCTTTGTTTTTAATAATTTCATGTCGGTGCCTTAACCTTTTAAAAAATCTTCTTTTAGTACCTCAGGGAAGTTTTTTAAGACACGAAAAGACAAAATTACCCTTATTATTAAATATATAAGAAAGCTTTTTAAAAAATCTTAAACCTGCAATCAAGATTTTTTTCTTTATGTTTGGGGCTGTTTAGTTACAGGTTTTAAGATTTTTTAAAAAGCTATTTTATATATTTAATAATAAGGGCTCACGGAGTGTTCCCATTTATGCTCGTCTTACAGTTTTGATTGGTTTTGTTAAGGTGAAGATTGTTGCAGGTTTGAATATAGCCTCGTTGTTGTACTGAAAACATTTTATAATTCTGACATTTTACACGAGTGCTTATCTTGGTCTCTGTATTTTTCTGTTTACTCTTTTGATTTCTTTTTTCACCAAGTAATGCTCACCAAGTGTTCCCTTTTATGCTCGTCTTACACTTTTGATTGGTTTTGTTAAGGTGAAGACTGTTGCGGGCTTGAATATGGTCTCGTTGTTGTGCTGAAAACATTTTATCAGACATTTTACACGAGTGTTTATCTTGGTCTCAGTATTTTCTGTTTACTCTTGATTTCTTTTTAACCAAAGTAATGCTCACCTCTCACAGAGCGTTCCCATTTATGCTTCTTACTTAGCACTTCCTGTGTTCTTCTTTTATTCATCTTTTACCTTATACTACTATTTTTGCAGCTGCAAGACTATACCAAGTCTCCTACAGGAGAAATGGAAGTGAAGTTTCAGCTTACTAGAGATACGCTTGAGGCTGTGTTGAGGTCGATGACTTACATTAATGATCAGCTCTCGGGAACAGTAAGAAATATCAGTATTTAATTTATGGTTCTGAAGAAGTTAATTTAGATTGTAGCCTAAGAGAAAACTCAAACAGGATATTTGTGACTCTTCTAGTCTTCCAAAATCTTCCAAAAAGTTACCCGTTACCGTATATCCTTCCTTTATTAATTTATTTTTGCTGAAATCCATATATTCTACATTGACAAGTAAGAACCGTCAGTTCTCTTTTATGTTCCAATTGTCTTCTTGTTATTGGCACAAATCTCTGGTGGAAAGTTTCGTGGAACGAGAGGAAGGAGAAAATTGAGGCTAACAAGCTAAAAGATGTTTACACACTTGAGTCATACTGCATCCATTAGTTTTTACTTTTTAGATTTGTGTTTACCGGTATTTCTTTTCAAAGATAATATAATGGTAAATTTGGTTGAGATTCTCAAAGTTTACAATGGTCTGGTTCACTATAATAGCATCACCTTATTCGTTTCTTATAGAAAGAAAACACAGCACTTCAGGAGCAGTTCTGTGCCATAGTTAATCATGTGTAGTGATATTGGCTTATAGTGAGGAATAAACTTGTGCACAATTTTTTTCTCCTTATTTCACTAAGGATGTTCAAAATCATTCTTTCTTGTGTTATGAAATTAACATTCTTATAAGAGACCATATGGGTTGGGAAAAAAATGAGATCTAGTTTGTAGATGATTTGTTTCTTTGTCCTCCTACATTCAAATACTGTAAATCATGTTACTAATGCAGAAATTGGGTTAATCTTGTCATATATATTATATATATATTGGTGTCATGCCACGTCATCAGATTTTCATATTTAGTGGTAACTACTGATGATGAAAACGTTATCATTGAAATCTTGTCCATATATATGTATGTATGTATGTATCTATGGTGAAGTTAATGCGTTATAGTATTTAGATGATTAATCTAAGGTTATCTTATGGACATTGCTTCTCACAGGTTGGAGATTCTTTGGAGCCAATGAAGAAGAAACAAAAGCAGTCGGAGAACTTAGCTTGATATTTATCTGTTTTGACTTAACTCAATGTACAGATTATTAATTTATTATCATATACGGACGTGAATCGTTCTGGACTGCGCCAAGCTAATATCTTCCTTCTTTTTTCTTTTCTTCTCTTTCTTTCTTTTTTTTTTTTTTTTTTTTTTTTTTTTTTTTTTAAAAAGTCTACGTCAGAACAAACTTGACAATTCATAATTCATCTTTTCTTTTTATGGTTTTTTTTTTCGCTTATCCTTTTTATGCTTATTTATTATCTGTTATTTTGCTGAATTCTTTGGGCCTTTCTCAGTGGGTAGAGAACACCTACAAGCGCAGGTTTTTGAAAAGTCGGATCATATTATTATAGGTTAATTGCATAAATGGTCTTTCAGGTTGATTTTTAATTTCATTTTAGTCCTTAACTTTTCAAACGTCACACAGTCCTTGAGATTATATTTTGTTTCAGTTTCAATCTTTCTGTTAACTTTTATTTTTGTTGAATTGAAAATTTTAGTACCGACCGAGACAAAGGGTTTGACTTGAGGTTTTATTTTGTTTCAGTTAGTCCTTGAGCTAACAAAGGGACCGAAACTAAAATAAAGTAAAACCTTAAGGATCAACTATGAGACCTTTTAAAAGTCAGTGACTAAAGTGGGATTGAGGGTAAACCTCGAGACAAATTGTGAGATTAACCCATTATTATCACTGATACCCTTAAACTTTAGGGTATTCTCAATTTGCCTCATAAACTTTAAAAACTCTCATTTTATACCCTGAATTTTGAATTATTTTCACTTAAGCGCTTCTGTTGCAATTTCTTTCAAAAACATGTAGGAAAAAAAAGACAAAGAGAATAATAAAGTCACGTGGTCTTTTTGTTTGGATTTTTGTTTAAAAAAATAGATAAAAATCACATGACAACACTTAACTCCCTCTTTTCTTGTCTAATTTAAAAATAAAAAAAAAAAAAAAAAAAAAAAAAAAAAAAAATAAAAAAAAAAAAAAAAAAAAAAAAAAAAAAAAAAAAACTTATAACAGAAGGGGTTAAGTGAGAATAAGGGAGGAAGGAAATAGGCCAGATTAAGAAGGAAATAAAAATTAAAGAGAATGAGGGAAATAGGCCAAGATTTAAGGGGAATAAAAATTAATAGGCCAAAATTGTAGAAAAGTTAGTAAATAGGCAAATTTGAGGTAAATCTGGATTTACAACCACATAAATTTCTAAAAATACCCTAGATGAGAATGGCACAGTCAAAACCCTACTCTTTGTCATACTCGTCTCTCTCTCTTCACTCTCTTTACACGGTAAACCCAGGATTTACGTGGTAAATTCATAATTTACTAAGATAACTTCACTTGACGTTTTATAATGAAAAGGCTATAAATTGTGATGGTAAACCTAGGATTTACATGGTAAATTTATGATCTATCAAGATAACTTCACTTGGAACTTTATAATGAAAAGGTTATCAAGTTTAATGGTAAATCTAAGATTTACCAAGATAATTTCACTTGAAATCTTATAAGGAAAAGGTTATCAGTTTTAATGGTAAACCCAGGATTCACGTAGTAAATTTAGGTTTACCAAGATAACTTAACTTGGAATCTTATAATGAAAAGGTTATCAAGTTTAAGAGTAAACCCATGATTTACGTGTAAATTTAGAATTTACCAAGATAACTTCACTTGGAACTTTATAATGAAAAGTTTATCAACTTTAATGGTAAACTCAAGATTTACATGGTAAATCCAAGATTTACCAAGTTAACTTCACTTGGAATCTTATAAGGAAAATGTTATCGACTATAATAGTAAACTCAAAATTTACGTCAGGATTTACTAAGATAACGTTACTTATAACCTTATAATGAAAAGGTTATCAACTTTAATGATAAAGTGTAGTAAATTCAGAATTTACTAAGATAACTTCACTTGGAACCTTATAAAGAAAATGTTATCAACTTTAATGGTAAACCCATGATTTACGTAATAAATTTAGGATTTACCAAGTTAACTTTACTTGGAACCTTATAAAGAAAATGTTATCAACTTTAATGGTAAACCCACGATTTACATAGTAAATCTAGGATTTACCAAGTTAACTTTACTTGGAACCTTATAATGAAAAGACTGTAAATTGTGATGATAAACTCAGAATTTACGAAAAATGAAAAATGAAAAATAGAAAAAAAATGGTAAATTTGGAAAATGATAAATTAAACACATAAAATGGCCTATTAATTTCTATAAGATAGTAAATTGGCTATTTACTTCCGTAACTTTAAAATTTTGGCCTATTTTTTACAATTTTCTAAAAAATTAATAGGCCAAAGTTCAAAATTAGTTGGGGCCCGTTTAGTTCGCTGGTTTAAGTTTTTAATTTTAGTTGAGATGCATTTTATGTGAGAATTTTTTACTGTAGTAAAAAAGTTAAATATGACTATTTTTGAGAGATTTTTACTGTAATAAAACTTGAATCGATACCGTTCACTTCGCTGATTTGAGTTTAGAATTCGAGTTGAGATGTGAGTTTATATGAGAGCTTTTTACTGTAGCAAAAAAGTTAAATGTGATTGTTTGTGAGAACTTTTTACTGTAGTACATGGTAAATTTACCAGTAAGGCCAAATCCAACGGTGTTGTGTGGTTAGATTTCATGTGGGTCCCATTAAAATATAACTAAAAGTTACAAAATGAAGCACCCGATTTCCTCTCTTGATGATCCGGCGGCAGAGCACCCTTTCTCCGATCCGCCAACGCTGGAGGGTCATTCCCCCAGTCGTCCAGATCTGGGTTTTCTTCTTCTCCATGGGAAAATTTTCAAAGAAAGTTATCTTTTCTTAAAAAAATTTCAAAAACGAAGTGCATTTTCCATTTATGAAAAAAGAAGAATAAAAAACCATTACACAAAAAGAAAATAAACTCAATCACGTTTATAGTAGAAAAAATTGGAAGATTTATTCTTTAATTTGAATAATAATTTATGGTTCGTTATAATATTTTTTTTTATAAAAAATACACATAAATTAAAAATAATTATAATTTTATAATTTTAATTCATAAACTAAACTGATTCTAACATTTTTTTTTAATTTTTAATTATAAAAATTTTAAATTAAAAATTTAAATCGATAAAATGAACTATATTTATATATAAAATAGGGGTATTTTTTACTGTTTATACACTCACAAAATACTATTTATTGTACAGAAAATGAGCAGTAGACGGTTTTTCCCCTTTTTGTTTTCAATTTCTCCGTTTCTGGGCAGAGGGTTTTTGGTCTTTTCTCGGCCTACAGTGTGTTGTACGTGCATACGGAGCTATCTATTCCTTTCTCGATACTTCCCTATGCACGTACAATATGTGCCTCTGAAATCCTCTCTCTCTCTCTCCTCCGGCGAATGCAGACGCAGAGACGAAGGTCTCCGCCTCTATCGTGGCGGCTTCTCCGGACTCCAAAACTCGCTTTCTTCCTTTGAAAGTCCTTCAGTAATTTGGTATCTTATTGCTTTGTGTTGTTTGGCTTTTTTTTTCTTTTCCTGTTTTCATCTTCATCTCATCCATCTCTTCTTCTTACTTTTGCTTGGAGTTTCTGGTGTGTGTTGTGTGCTTATTTCATGTCTATGAAACCTTACTTATGCTTTCTTTCTCAGTTTGGATCTTCTCCACGACTTTGGTGGTTTTTTTTTTTTTTTTTTTCCCTTTTCCTGTTTTGATGTTGATTTCATCTATTTTTTTTCCTTGGTTTTGATTGGGGTTTAATTCTGGTGTGGGTTTTGTGGTCATTAAATAGCCGTGGAACACTATGTTTGCTTTCTTTCTCGGCTTTTGCCTTCTGAGTTGCCTTATTTTTTTTCCCCCTCTTTTTTTGCAGGTGCTTTGATTTATCTCTTTTTGTTGGTTTTGGCTGGAATCCTGCATCTATCCTTTGGAGATTATGCTTCATTTTTCTTCTGCGTTTGATCTTCGTGTCTCAAATTTTTTCTTTGTTGTACATTTTTTGTTCTGCCTTTTGCGTATGTTTCATGGGTTACATCATTTGTTTGTTTTTTTAAGTTTTTGCTCTTACTTTATCAACTATTATTTTTTTGAGTAATACAAATGTTATTTTATTAAAAAATTTTCGGGACACTTGACCTTTTCTTTTGATGGATAGGGATTTTATATGCATGAGTGAATTTTCCCTTGGTTCGTTTGATGATGTATATCAGTAATTCTTGGTTTTATCTGTTTCATTTATTGCCTTGATGAGTTGGGTTATTTGTATTGGTTATCTGATCTCCTAGGTTGATGATTTGTTCTGCTTTTGTTATGGATATATTAAATGAGCTGTTGATTTTTCTCTCCTTTCTATTATCTGGAATTTTCGACAGCTTTAGTTTGCATTATCTGGAATTCCCGGTAATTTTAGGCGAAACAATTTTCTTGAACTTTTCCTATCTCTAGCACCATTAGTATTTAATAATTTTATATCTGAAATTGTATTTGTTTTATCTGAGTTTGATATGATCTGTCAAATATTGCTGTGAATATATTATCTTAATTCTATTCTATTTTTGTCCATTGTTTTTTATTCAAAACTTTTAAGTTCTTTTTTTTCTTTTGTTTTTCCTTACTTTCATGTCCTTACCCTCTTATGACCAATATTTAATACAGAAGTTATTTACATATATATATATATATTTTTTTCAATATTAAATTCTTTTTTTTTCAATGGTTTTAAATTATTTTCAATCCCAGGTGTTTACACTTACACTCTGTAAATAGAACTTCATTTACTTATATAAAATGTTGCTTTTTGTTCTTTTTTTTTTTTTTTTTATCTATCTTGCATTTTAAGTCTTAGTTATTTAACTATAGTTATTTACTTATCCTAAAGGCTCATGTTATTTTATCGGTTTTCCTTTTTTTTCCCCTTCTTTCTTCCCTTTTTCCTGTTCCTCAGCAAGCAATTTTGGATTTTTTTAAACTTTAAAGTCTACTTATAATATTCTAAGCTTGATTTACCATTCTTTTCTCTTGGGGCAAGTAAACTTTTAGGTCTTACTTCTTTCCCAGTTTCCTTATGTTTTCTATTTCGTCCACCGTTTTCTTCAGCTTTTTTTTCCCTCCTTTTTCTTTGATTTGGTCTATTTTTCCTTCTTTCTTTTTATTCACCTGGTAGTTGCTGGACGGATCTATATCTTATTCTGGTCTTTTTATTTATTTTTCTTTTTGGGTGGGATACAAGTTATAACCCGTGTGATGAATATAACATCTTATTAATTTTCGTGCCTTTATGCAGTTGCCCATAGTAGGCAGCCATAAAATGGCTATGAATATATGAGTTTGTTTATTCATCCCACGTTGATGAAAATATCCAATATCTGAGCCATGATTTTTGCATAGAAATATTATGATATTCATGTTTCATCAACTTCTTTTGATTTCCCAACCAAACCCACCCCCCCTCATTTTTTATTCTTGAAATCCCCGTACATTTTTAATTACTATTGCTAACATTGAATGCATCAGCTTGCTACAACAATGTCAGGATTGGTTGTTTATGTTGTCTCATCTTTTTCCGTACATGCGTATGCTATTCTACTGATATGTATTGCTGGCGTGGAAAGTTGACAAGAATTTATTCTTATTCTTACGAAATATTAGTCATTTGTTTCTATTTCATGTTTTGCTTCCTAAATAAGTAGTGTTCGCAGATTGATTTTTTTTTTTTTTTTTTTTTTTTTTTATCCCTTCTTCTATTTCATCTTTTGTTTCATTTTTTGTTCTTATTTTACTACTGTATGTTTTTATCACTGTATCTTGCATCAATATTTATACTTGGTTAGTCTATATATGGCATTTGGATGAGTATTTGCAGTGTCTGTGGTATTGTTAAGAACTTTCTTCCGTGCATTTATAATAACTGTTGCTGATACTCAATGTACTAATTTGTTATAATAGTGTTCGTATTTGCTGTTTATGTTCTTTTATTTATGTTAACATAAAATTTTGTTATATTATTGATGCACATTAACTCCGCCTATGTGTTTGTATAGCCGGTCCCAAGCTCGGATAAAAGAGGAGGATTGCAGTAGGTTGACGGCCAACGTAAAAATAAGTCACTCTCATAGATTTAGCCGACCCCAATTAAGTTGGAATTGAGGCTTGTTGTTATTGTTGTTGTATTGATGCACATTGCTAATTTAAAAACTTCAGAAACATTCCTTCCTATTCTCAACAAATTATAGCGACCTATATCTATTTTTCTCTTTGCTTCATAAATAAATGGCCATGATCTATCAATGTTTTTTTTTGTTTTTAACTTCTTCAACCACACATGCATACGAATATTGGCAATGATCATCATTATTGATTTATATATGTTAAACATTATATGATTTATCTAAAAACTGTTATGGCTGCGTGATTCCTATTTCAATATTTACCTTGCTTATTTTTTCAATTTTTTTTTATCCTTTTCTTAAAGTTCTGGCCTACTTTGTTCTTCTCTTTATTTATTTAAATATTTTTATCTTTTGTACGCCATCTGTTTGCTTAAAAAACTGGAATTATTAATATCGTGCTATTACATATGCTAAAGGAACTATACACATACATATCTCTGCTTGGTACATTCTATTTTAAAACGCTGTTTTCATATATTAATAATGGTCGTACTCAATATTATAAAATACCAATTTCTTAGCTATTGCTTGGTATTCTTATAAAATCACTGAAAATCCATTATGATTCTCATCACTAGATAAAAAAACAAACTAAAATGTTGCAACATTTATGTTTTTTCACTTTTTAGTTTTCATTCTGTCGTGTTTTCCTTTTTAAGTTTTTATTTACTTATTTAATCATTCACTTATTTATTTGTATTTTTTAGAGTCTCCTACCATTTAACACTGTCTGTTCTTATCGCTGTATCCTTAATCAATATCTACACATAAATAGCCCATATTTAGCATTTGGAGTGGTATTTGCAGCGCTTGAGGTATTCTTAAGAACTTTCTTCCATGTATTTTTAATAACTTTTGCTGATAGTGGATGTAGTAATTTGTTATAGTAGTATTCATATTTGTTATTTATACTTAATTATCTATGTTGGCATAAAGCTTTGTTATATCATTAATTCACATTACTAATTTAAAAACTTGAGAAATATTCTTTCCTGCTCTTAACAAATATTACCAATCTATATCTATTTTGTCTTTTGCTTCATAAATAAATCCAAATATCTAATCATTGTAGTTATTTGTATACTACTTTAGTTCAAATGTATTGTACTGACAAATATGTCATTCAATAAGTTTATTAAGTATATTGATTATTAAGTGACTATCATGGATGTTAATATTCTTGATATATGAAAGATAAAACGAATTGACTATTATTATAGGATTATTAATTTTATTAATTGTTACTAATTTTGATATACTGTTATTCAGTGTATACAGATTACTTGCGTGAGCATATTTAGTCCTTGTTGACGTTTGAGTGCTTGCTGTTTCATTTTTAAAACAGGGTTCATAGCGTTCCAGGTATTAAAGATAGTCTCTTCCTATAGCAGTTTAATATCCACTATTGATTCTTAATGTAGTATGTATATATAAATTAATACTATAATGTAAGAACTCTTGACTTCCTCTATAATATAACAATCTTCCCCGCAGCAACGCGCAGGCAAAAAAACTAGTTGATCTATAGGCTAGTTGTCAAATGGGCTGGACTTTATTTACTCGTCCATGGAGAAAGCCCAGATTTTTTTTTTTTTGGCTTATGCTCGAAGATTATTTTCAAGATTGATTTTGGCTATTTGTGACTTTTGCTACAGTTATTTCCTCTTTGATTTCTTTCGCCTTCTGGGTTTTGCGCTCTGGTCCAAGTCCCACGACTCACTCCTCGTCGCCGCCAATGATGACGACTCAATCAAGCGCTTCTACGACCTCGCGTCGAGCACTCCCGCGAGGTCCGATTCTTGGTGGTTGGATTGTGTTTTTGATGCTTGCTGTTGCGAAAGTGGGTGATTGGATCGAGAACCTGAGAAGGGAAAGA